GCAGGCCCATACTGTTGCAATCGCTGTCCAGCACGCCATCCTGTCCCAGCAGCCCCGTACTGTCTCATGCGCTGTCCAGCACGCCATCCTGTCCCCAGTTGTCCCTGTCCCAGTCTTATATCATACATCATATTGTCATAGCACTATACTATCCCACACAGCACTACCCTTTATACCATACTGTCCCATAAGCATTATAATTTACAGCATATTGCCCTTTATAAGCACTATACGGTCATACACCTTGCTTTCCCACCTACCCAGTCGCAGTGCTATACTATACGTCACATTGTCCCTTATAGCCCTATACTGTCTTAAACCTTTCTGTCCCACACAGCACTATACTACACCTTACTGTCCCATAGGCACTATACCCACAAGAGTAGCTTTCAGGCACTGCTTCCTGTTCTCCTCCTGAGCTCCTGAAAGAGACGCCCTGTTCCTGATTGGCATGGTTCTCTGTGCTCCAGGACGTCCTGTGTTGCCCCATGACCCCCCAGCCCATGTCCGGGTGAGTCGCACCCCCTGCCTTCCTGCCCTCCCGAGTTCACACGACTGCTGCAGTTGGTACACTGGTTAAATTATAAAGTATCTTGCCTGTATTCCACACCTCCAACGGAAATTATTCCAAAAATGAGTGTTATTGATAAAATAGCTCTTATTAAAGAAAAGTATAATATTTGATGTATTTTAACTTTAAGTGTCATTTTTAATGTGCTTGGAGTGGTGGAGATACTGAGGACTGGTCTTCGACTTATCCTGAAGCACAAGAGTAGTGTAGACCAAGCCTGAATCGAGTCGTGAATTTATACTTACAATAAAAACAAGGTGACGAAAAACAGAATTGTTCTTTTTTTGGGTTGGTAGCTGCGTCAGCATGTGTAGGCTGCAAAGGAACAGGTTGTAGGTTTATTCCATGCTGAAAAGAGAATGTTTCGGAACGTTGTGTTTTCTTTCTTCTCTTTTCAGCATGAAATAAACCCATTACCTGTTCCTTCATTCCATAGTGTCCTACATGTGTACTTGTGTATGTACGCATAGGCACAGACACATCTTACAATATGGAGTATAACAAGATGAGTGTGTTTCCCGTTCGAAACAGGATTCCTTACACCAAAGGAGGAAAAAACTTGACTGTTGCTAGAATGATAGGTTCCCAATTATGATCAAGTATGGGAGGAAGCGTGGAGTGAGATTTTTAAAGAAAGTGACCCTCCAGGCTGGGATGGTTTGAAAGCAGTGTTCCAGCAGGGGGCGCTGCCTTGTCCCAAAAGTATTATTAATTGGCCATGGGAAAGGACCGTGTGGCATGTGCTTCTCACCCTTCCCCTAGCACAGCTGCCCCTCCAGCTGAGGCTGGAAGCTGTGCACACCCAATCCCTCTGTCCCTGAAATCTGCTGATGCATAGAAAGGGTCTCAGGCTACCACCTATACCCTATATATATACACACACGCCCAGAGGCCAGCCCCGGAGCAGGGCGTGGGAACTGTGTGCGCAGCGAAAACGGACACTCGGACACGCAGCTGCAGTCCGCCCCCAGCTGGCACGTGCCTGCGCGCCCGGGAGAGTACGGGAGTCTCGGCGCAGGAGCAAGAATGAGACGGCGGACACAGTGAGCCAGGGTTTTATATTATAATTATTGGATTCATAGAAAACACAACTCGCAGGGCCGAGCGGCGGTCTGGCTTGGACTGCTGCAGCAGGACCTCCGGCGAGAGGCGCGCACGAGCTCGTCGGATTGTCACAGGTTCCCACCGCCAGCGCTCGGGCGATACAGATGGGCCGGGCCCGCTGCTGCTGCAGAAGTTCTACTTCCGCCTGCAGCACTCTTAAAATAACTGCAAAGGTTGTTTCATTTTTTTTTTTAAGTTTCATATATTCTTGAAGTTTTAATTTTAATATTATTTGCTTCTAGTCTCCGCTGCACATTAAAACAGGTATTACAAAACAAGATTTAATTTCATCCTCGTTAATTCAAATTGACACACCTCCAAACACATATACATATACACACACACACGCGCGTGCGCACTTGTGCAAATGACCAAGTTTTCACCAGAGGCTGGCTAACAATCCTCAGGGAGAGAGAGGGGGGAGAGGAGAAGGGAGGTTAAAAGACTGAACTGGTCCTCTCCCCCTCTCCCTCCCAGCTGGAATGGCTCTAGAGAAACAGACGGATGAAACTGCTTTGTCGCACGCGAACACGGACACTCTCGCTCTCGCACGGAAAAATACACGTCAAACATGTGTCAAAAAAAAATTACAAAGAGATGTACAAGGCACTGGACACGTTTGAAAAAGACTGGCACGACACTGCAGCTGAAGCAGATACCCCAGGAGGGGAGGGGAGATCACAGTTGGCACCTACCCCTGTCACGTCTGTTGGTCCAAGGGGGTTTTCCACGAAGGGACAGCGTGGTTCTTTTTTATAGGTCTTTCTGTACTCGATTCGAACAGGTGGGGAACTGATCCCGCTGGGGTGCACCCTTCCTGTCCTACAGGATTGGTTCATCTCGGTTTTCTGAAACCGTACCGAGACCCCCGCCTCACAGCTCAGTGTCACATGTGACCCCTCTCGCAGCAGCCTAATCCCCCCCGACACGCTGCAGGCCTCCAGCTCCACTAATGAACACCTGCCAGCAACACTTCTGCTGCTCCATTACAGGAGACGCGTTCCCTCCCGACGGGCCTCGGGGCTGAAACCAAGCCTTCCCCTTTCCCTCTAGTATATTCAGTATTGTGGACGAGCCGGGGGCGCGGGGCACAAGCTGCCCCGCCACGTTGCTGAAGCCGATACCCCGGCTTCCTTCAGGCAACGGCTGGCTGAGATCCTCCAGTCAGGACAAGAGGCACTTTACACACAGTGTGGCGGGAGCATGGAACAAGCTGCCCAGCCCTGTGGCTAAAGCTTGCAACCATTTCATTCAAAAAAAACAGCTGGCTGAGATTCTTGGATCAATTCACTACTAAGTACCAGGGGGGGGCCAGATGCGGCCCCTAACAGAGCCTGCTGTATTTTCAGGGGGCCTCTATCCACCCCCGGGCCTGGGGGGCACACTGTCCTGGGATTTTCATTCCACTCCAGACTTTTAACCAGACCTGAGTGAACTGGGCTCCTTGAGCACGGTTTCCTGGTCTTTATTCATGGAGGGCTGGGAGTCGGGAGCCTGCGGGTCTCCTGCTCCAGGAGTGAATGGCGCAGGGGACGGGGATACAGCCCCACTCCGACACCGTGCTGGCACAAGGGGGGGCGTCCAGCGATTTGTTTTTTGTACTCGTAACGTCTGGCCACAGCAGAGGCCACGCTCACCCCTCGGGAAGAGTCACCCCAAGGGGGCTGCGGTAACCCACGACCGAAGTCTCCCCGCGACTGCACGCAGGAGAGAGGAAAGAACGGAAAGAGCAATGGCCAGTGGGGAAAAACGGGAGCGAATCCGGAGCTGCAGGGAAGCTGCGGTCCCCGGCCGAAGTACCGTTCCCGGAGCTGTGCAGGAGGGGGCCCTCCCCGGGACTGGGCCTGACTTCCACTCATTTCACATATTCTTAGAACACCAGTGGGATTAAAAACACCCTCCCTGCGCTAAAAAATCACCTAAAATCATCTCTAGGAACGTGTGAAGATGCTGTATATAAATACACAGGGCACAGCAGTGCGGTAGGAGAAAGAGCACACCCACCCCAGGACACGGGCCCGGCCCTAACTCTCCCTCTGCAGCACAGCCTGACCGCAAGAGCGTCTGCGTCAGGCCCTGCTCCAGGCCAGCGCTTCCAAGGGGAGGGCGTGTCCGTGTCCGCTGCCGTTCCGGGCCTGGGGTCGTGTCCTTTCCACGAGGCGAGGCAGGGTACATCTTCTAAGTCCTAAAATCTGAATCGAGTTAAAATGGGTGGCGCTACCCCACCCACCCACCCTCCAGCGGAGGAGCGACCCCGTCAGGCCGCGCCCGGGGCGCCTGGTGGGGGAAGAAAGATAAGTGCTCATCGGTTCTCTGGCCAGTCCATCTGCTTCAGCCCCGGCCACGGGGACGAGGGGACGAGGGGACGAGGGGACGCTGGGGGCGGGCGGTGTCTCCGCGCTCGTCTGCAAGCCCCCCTCCTGCTTCCAGACACACACGCCTGTCCGTGCCCACAACCCCCGCTCGTCCGCAAAGGCCCCTGCCCTCCACGGCCACCTGCAGGGGGCGCCACGGGCTCAGAAGGTCTCGGAATCGGAGTCGTTCTCGGTGGTGTCCCCCTGGCCCTCGCTGGGGGGGCCGGAGGCGCCGGCGGGGCTTGGAGGGGACCGAGCACCCCTGCCGCCCCCCCTCCCAGCTATCGGCGCCTTCAGGAGGGAGCCAGGGGAGGGCGCTCC